GTTTTAATAAAGGCTGCAACCAAGATTCCGTGAAGGACATGAAAGTAGCCGGTGTTTCCTAGAAGAATCTACTTCGCATTGTTCACAGTTAAGTCTGTTAAAAAAATATTCTTCCTGTAAAAACTTACAACTTGTGAACGAGAAATAGCTGGTTGTGATAACAAGTGCTGCATAACAGACTGGCCCTGTTGTGGTGCACTGGATGTAACGCCGACGGTAAGTGAACGGGGCACTCTGGTCACGATTTGTTGAGGCTGTTGTTGCTGGATCTGATGATGTGGATGGTTCTGTATCACATGTTGCGCTGAGACAGTCGTAGGTTGAGCAGTGTTAACTGTTTGTCCATTTCCTATAGGATGTGCAATCAACTGCGACTGTGAAACTTGTGCTTGTGACAGGTTCTGACTGTTCCCCGTTGGTTGTGTTTGTGGTCGACAGAAATTTGGCACTACAGCTATAACTGTTCCTGCACTGGTTTGAACATGCTGCACTTGTGCCTGCACAAACCATTGTCCGTTAACAGCTTGCACGCAGCCAGAAGGATGGTGCTGAGGTTGAATAACCGTTCCTGAATGTGAATTAAGAAGGAAGTCAAACTGCACAAAAAATTTTGAGATGAAATTCTTTACAAAGAAAGCTTCCTGAGACAATGCGCAGTCGTACCAAATTGCTAACGCACTTGCAAAAATGATTTTTGTCAAATCAAGATCTTGAGATTCAAATTTATATAAGAAAAAGGCATGTGCACCAGTTTCTATTGAAATTATAACCAAATACAAACTTTTCTCTCTCTGCTCAAGTCGTACAAACGATGCGAAATCTCCATTTTGATGGAGACCTGAAACGGATGGTTGGGTAAACTGCAATTCTGCTGGTTTGGTAACCAGAAGTGGAGAGCTTGAGGGTATCGACAGCATGCTCAAATCTGGATTTAGTTCATATTCGACACTGGTGACCTCGGATGATTGGGCCTGTGGTGGGGGTTGCAAAATGGGCTGCGAGGATCCAGAAGATACTGAAGGAATACGGCTATTACTTAAAGTGATGAAAGTTTGCTGCTCCGCTGACACTGGAGACAGTTTCGGTGGAGGCTCGGAAGGGTAAGGTTCGCGAGTCGGAATATGGCTCAGTGGCGATGGACAGGACCGCGTCGATACAGTAAGACCAAAATCAGTTGCTCCACTTGCAGGAGGACTACTACATTTCAACGTTTCATCTTCGAGGCTCAGCTGTAGCCATTCATCTTCATAATGCCTACAAAATGAATCTTAACATTAAGAATGCGAAACCATAAACTATTCTATAGATAATAGACTATTATAATTTTAAATACACATAATTTCAGAAAACAAGCACCAGCTCAAACTCGTTCACGTTACTAATAAGCATTTAAAAGATGAACATTTCGCCAACAATACACAAATGATAAATTCAAACCGTAATTATGGAAAAGCAACTTACTCGGAAAGATCATCAAAAGGACGAAACCCGCTCGAAGACATCATATTCCTACGAATAGCGTAAGAAATTACTCTTTTTTTCCACACATTTTCACTAAAAAAAATGATTATAAATAACAGTGCAAATAAAGTCAATTTCTTACATCGAGACGAAAAAAATTAAGTCACTGAAAATTCAAACAATGTAAGCTCCTGAAAAATAAATTTCACTGTAGGAAGGCTATATATTATGTTCATTTTTTTGACATCACAATTCTAACACCCCAAAACACACTACCCACGTTACGTAATTCATCACCACAGTCTCAAGATCAAAAAACCTGTTTAGTACAGTAGAAGGCACTAATAATTCTCATTAAAATCAAGAAGGTCGATGTTAGGTAGCTCTGCGAAGAACTCTATAAATTAAAATAGTAATATGAACTGTATTTAAAAAATACAGTGTTAAAGAGTAAGCAGACAATGAAAATACATCCATCATACTAAAAGGGTGATGAATGTAGAGATAGCTGACAGAACAGAAAAGGAACAAAATAGACTATTAAGGTATGAGAAACATTATAGATTCAATGATATTTTCAATCAAGTAAGCGCAAGTTACCTACAACGAATCTAATCACTTTCTTTGCATCCAAAGAAACAACTGAGGAAGACGCTAACATTAATCTATCGGATCGATGCTACCAAAACATTTGTATTCCGTCATTAAGAATCAGAAAAGCACATGCTCACTCTTAATTCCTGCTTGATAAATATTAACATTATTAATATCCACTTTGACCCTGTCCTCCCCTATCTCCTCAACTAGCACTGAAGAGAATTTTGAAATGTTTTATGAAATCCCCATCAATCTCTTTGAAGTACAGAATTTCTAACAAAATTTGCAAAAATTATACTCACTGTTTGTTTCATCACTTAGTCCACAAATCTTGGGAATCTCCGTAGATTACCATCATTTTTGATGTAGGCCGAAAAAATTTCAATCCCATAACATATTCGAGGATTTTGACGTTGCACTAAGAAATGTATTATTTACCAGCGCAAACTTCTGCTGAAGACAAAATACTTGGCAATCAAATGATTATTTTAGAGCAGAACTTATGCATCTCTCTGGACAAATGACAGCTCATAAACGCTGAATATTAATTCAAAAAAATTATACTTCAGGATAGAAAATACATCAATATTTCTATCAATGTTTCCAACGTGCTGCACGCATTATTTTTTAAATACTTTCGCTGGCATGAATCTTACTATCACTGCACATGAATCGCTATTTCCGAAAACATCCCAAATTGGCAGAAATACAATCTCCGAGCTATTATGACTTCCAGTTCTAATGTCCATTTAAATACGCATTAATAATTAAGAAAATGGTTGCCTCAATCTGTACTACATTATATGTCCTGAGTACTACATTAAAGAATTCAGCATTCCACATAAATTAAGATATTTATACCTAATAGCATTTATATAGATTCAACAAACGATATCTAGAATGCCTGAAAGAATATTTCAAGCAAATCATCATCATATTGCACTTCATCCGTATGAATTTCATTTATAGTAAGGAACAAAGTTCTGATTTCGTTTTACAGTTATAATACATCAGAAATAATCTGAGGGAAGACAAAATAATATGAGAATTGGATAAGAGCTAACGACAAGTAGTAATTGTGGAACGATCAAGATGTGTAACAGCAACGAACCATCCAGACACACTAGTTAACAAGAGGAAAGTGTGCAATCTGAAGACCACAAGACTGAAAGATCGCAACACACCTGTCCATTTCAGCAAAGGTGAGCCATAAAATAGTGACAAAAAGGAACATAATCATAATTACCCTGCTGATGAAGACAAGCTTCAATGATAGTCACAGCACCTCTTCTTAATTAATCGAAAATCCGTTAACACCCATATGACGCAGCGCGCTCGCAACGCGTACCGAGACACTTTCTGGCCCGTCGCCAAGCAACCTCTCATTCAATCGCTGTCACTCTGATCTTTTCATTCAAATTTTATGTAAGTTTTGTGTGTTGCAGCACTATGTCCGATGGTTGTGGGCGGACATGTGTGGGCACCGGTGCACATGTAATTAATTACCAATTGCAGTAGTGAGGTATGTTCGGCAAACAAATCTGAAGCGTGAAATTAGTGCTCTGATGATGTCCATCTAAGTACGTGTGACATGGTCAATTAGGGGATAGGCAGCCCAGTTCGAGATGATACTTTTGCATGTGTTCGTTCGCTAAAACCTGAATAGGGAACACGCTATATGGAACAATTTGCCGGCCACGGCGATATAGCTCTCCTACGTGACTTATGTAGAGTAACATCTTCATGTGTTATGATGGAATGGCTGTTTAAGTATTGGTACTCCTGACGGTCGACTTTAAACAAGCGAGCTCCTGGAAAAACAGGGCAGGCTTTAATGCGTATTTCAACATTTTTGAATAGCATTCCGAAAGTCTTATCTTCTCAATTCGAGGAAAAACCGCTCAACCATACCGCTGAATAGATTTGAAGCAGTATATTCCTGGGATTTATGGTGCGAAAACACACAAATCTCCGACGTTTCAATTTTAATTTTCACACAATTTTCTGACTCTGCGAATGGCAGCCAGCCGCTTGCACGTGAAGTCACTTTTTGTTGCATTACATCATTGAAAACTGAGCAAAGAAATAACTTATAGCGCACCCTTTGCGCGGCGATTGAAGGAAAAAGGAAAGTCTCCAGGTTTTAACCATTGGTTGTAAATCTATTGACGCGTATATGAAAGAGGACTGAAAATACCTAAGACGAAAACAGTATCACGTAATCCCATGCTGTTTTTAATTTGCATGTAATCTAATCTCATTTTTAATTTATATTGTCACAGATTGTACTGACATAATACAGTATCTGCAAATGATAACAATGTCAGAGACAGCATTTCGGCATCCAAACCAATTATCCTACGAAATCGTAGACTATCCTAGATTTGATAAACAAAATAAAAGAAATAACGGAAAGAAAATATGTTTTACAAAGTATTTACTCCTAATATGCTCTTAAGAAGTGCTTCGCTATGATATGACATGGGGTATGTGCTGGATAAAGATGAAATATGGCCTAGAATCAATTGGTGATTACTGTTATCTGCTCCAACATGTTATCGCTTTGCAGTCTTTTTTATTCTTGACCTTTTCCATAATTCCATAATATTTTGTTATCCTTTATACAAGTACATCTTAACTGATAAAATGAAACCAAATGTTCAATGTCAGAAGTCACACTACCTATCAATCGAAATGAATGGGAAAAAAAAGGATTCCCTTACAGATTGCGAAGCGGAAATATGCAAAGAGCTACCGAAATATTCATGTACAACACAACCTACAAATTAAATGGGGAGCCCATTAATTGCAGTTTGAAGATGCATGAAAAAAATCCAGAGAAAGTACCAAATAGTTTATTCCTGGGAAAAGTATTTGCTTTCAATGACAAAAAACTGCAAACAGTTACATGAAAAATAATAAAATGACGGAAAATCGGTTTGCTATACGGGGGTAGGTGTTGCTGCTGTATCTGCGTCATGTACAAATTCCACATATGTAAACGGGAAAGTACCTCTCTTGCCGTTCAAGATTCCTTCGCAAATACCAGACGGATGTACCTTGGTCACTTTTAGCAAATCACCCTTCTACAACAAGGACTAGTCAATTTACATTTTAGGCCTGCAACTTTATTTCAACATAAGTTTTAAGATTTAAAGAGTAAACACTACGATCGATGGAACTATGTGAAAATGTGAATGTAAGTAAATGTGATGAGTCCAATAACATTGTACAACGAGGCTATCGGTGGCGATGTAAACACCAGGCATAATACTTGAAGAGTAATCAAAAAATGCATTTTATTCTAACTATTAAAATACTTCGCCCAATCAACTTCTGACCAAGCTGTCAATAATTTTAGAAAAAAAACCTTCAGGCGTAGTGCTTCCGTATCGTATACATTCGGCCGTCTATCTAGAATTACACGTGCCAGTGTTGGCATATGTGTCTGTAATTAAACATGCTTATGCGAATCGTAAACATTAGTGATGACAAATCCTACATCTTTATAATATTTATATAACCTGAAGCTCTAAACAAATTTCACTTATGCACTAACCGTTTCAGAAAGTTGTGCATTACTCAACATATCATCATTAGTATCACTAAGAACAGATGCACCGCTTAAACGATTTTCTGACGATACAGAAGAATCGGGACTGTCTCTCTGCATTAGAACTTCATCAAATTGTGCCTGGAATTAGAAAACACTTAGAATGGCTGGATGGTAGAAACTGAAGTTGCATATAAAAACCAATGTACTGCCAAATCATCTCTTACGTGAAAAGTAGCTAGAAGCTCACCAAGTAATTTCCAGGCACAAGGCCAACATTACCCAAAGCATTACGAGCTTCCCACCACTCTTCCTGTGGTTTCTCTATTATATCAAGAATTTCATTTTTTTCAAATGAGAGATCTGTTGGTTCTTGTCCTTCAAATGAGTACAAAGCAATCATCTGTAATAATTCCGTGCAAAACAACAAAACAGAGTTGCTCATAATAGGACAAGGCAAGAAAATAAGAATGTTTCAGCTTTGTCTATTGATTATATATTCTTTATTCAATATACGCTCGCCACAACTACGCTTTCAGCAAGATCAAAGAAGCTCATATATTAGCCAAAAAAAAAACCGAAAATAAAACTATAAGCACTACGGATAATAATACTGTTAAACAAAGAAACTTTATCTCAAAACTTAATTTGGCAACAAAAATTGAAGGAAAAAACAATGGATATAACACACAAAAGAAAAGGAAGAAACGTACTTTATTGATTGCGGCTTTTCGGAGTGGACATACCAAACTTACATTTGCCAAAATCCTCATTTTGAAATGATTAAGTAAAGCAGGAATGTCAACAAAGTACTGATCAGCTATCTGCAGTACCAGTTATAAATTGTTATTTTTTGCATAGTAGAAACAACCCAATTTTGAGAAAATAATTTTAATAAGCAGAAAGGTCTATTAGTGTGAGGCAAATTACATACTCACTTTCACATTTGTCTTGCCATTATCCGCTTCAATGGGCTCAATGAGGTAATGTCGAACCTGCTGATCACCGAACAGTTCTTCTCTACAACAGTGAAATCTGTACAATGTTATGGAACTGAAGTGAGAGTAGAATTTCGACCAAGTGACTGAAAAAATATTCAAAATGAACAGAACGCACCACATCAGGCTAAGCAAAGCTAAAACATGATGTTACTACCTGACACTTAAGGCATAGCTTCCGGGAGTTGTAGAATCTCGGATAAGGAATGTGCCGAGATCAGTATCGGGTTGACATAATAGTCGTGTTGCTTCTTCTCGATCAACGTGGAAATAGAAATTCCTCCAAGAGTAAGGATCGAACGAAGAAGACGACGACTCTCGCATCCTCAAAATTTCAGACTCCCCCGTCTTCTCCAGTTTCTCACGAACTTTTCGACGAAATCGACGGCCCATAATTGGCCGTAGTAGAGACATTATGCAATTTAACGTGAGCATTGCGGATTGTTCAACCTCATTCGTTTCCTGCAAGTTTTGGGTGTACATTCCACTGAATCGGGATGGAGTATATGCATATAGAAAACTTAGAATGTGGACCAGGTGGCAACTCACTGAATTTCGAGACGGCATATGAAGGATGCAGCTGTTCGGGACCATGCACAGCAAATACAGGTTGCACCTGTCTTCTCTACAAGCAAGCAAGTCTTATTCATTTTGATATGATGTTATAACAAACTCTTTTAGCACTTATTATTGAAATTTTAGAAATTATTGGAATTTAATATAAGATATTTTTGATGCTCTATTTTTACTTCACACTTAAATTCTTTTATAAGTTTCTCCTCACTTCGCTATATCAAAAAAAAAGTCGTAGACAGTTGGTATGTATCTATATGGTTTAGTCCAAGAATTTCAGTGAGCGTATTTGAGTAATTTATTAAGGAATCTTCAGGACATATTCAAGGATCAGAATTCCATTGAGAATGTTAACAACAATTTGCCAATTCTGGAATGCTCTGCTGAATGCTCTTGCTCGTTCTCTCCAGATAATTGCAAAAATAGATGTATCCAATTGGGCTCCTCACTTCCTCTTGAGGCTAGTTTTTCTGTTATATATTCAAAAAAACTTCCACTACCCTATTTGAACACAAAGTTTGACTTAATTTAGGTCTTTGATGCTGGTGAAAAAGGTTATGGTTTACAATGTTGTGAGCTAATTAAAAAAGGTCGCTTTGTTATCGAATATATTGGAGAAGTAATTGGACCTGATGAAGTGAAGAAGCGCCAATCCGACACAAATTATGTGCTTACAATTAAGGAGATTTTTCGAAGTGGTTAACTTATCATGATATCCTAATGATTTTCGAAAAAATTTCTCTTGTCTGCCTTTCCTTCTCTCTGTCGTGCAATGCTTCGTTGCTGTTGCAGCTCTTTTAACTTGACAGAAAATGAAAATACTTCAACTTTGGTCCGTCTCTTATTTTCTTTAAATTTATTTTTTTCTGTCAATCTTGAGACTGGAAGTCTATTTTTTGTACAGAGATTTTATTCATTCTACCAAGTAATGAATGAATTTAGATCACACTGAAGTGACGTATATCGATCCATCGGTGCGTGGAAATCAATCACGATTCATAAATCATGGTTGTAATCCTAACTTGGTAATGATCCTTGTGAGATATGGTACTCCACAGGTACACGTTGGTCTGTTTGCGCTTCGCGATATACCTGCTTATGAAGAGCTCACTTACGATTATGGTGCCAACAGCTCGGAATTTTGTCTGAAAAAGTGTTTGTGTGGCAGTATGAATTGCCGATTGTTTCTTCCTGCTTCTATTTCATAGCATATTACCTGGCCGCTATGCACCTCTTCCTTCGGTAATCAGTTTTTGATTACATAACATAATTAAGATTGCACGGCTTCGTTCAAGTTTAATTAAATTTTCAGAAAAACAGGAAGTTTCTTTTTTGTACGCAGCAATGGAACAGTTCTTAGTGAAAGTGCCACCAAAGAAGTGGAAATGTTGTAGAGATGAGTTAAGAAGTTAGGTATATTTGTAAAGTTTTGGAATTTTCAAATCTCATTTTTATGTTACCATTATCGGACTTCGATTCGTTTTAAAATTGTTTTGATCAAAAAATAAATATTTTTGGAAAGGAGAGAAATTCACATCATTAATCAGTTTCTCATTTTGTGAGACCAAATTTTTTACACATGCACATAGTGCGTTATGTCAGCTACATATATACAGAGCCCAGATGCCTTTAGATGCATGATTTTATAAATAATGACAAAAATAAGTCACAGAGGAGTTGGAACGAAGTTCAGATTTTGAGAAGTCCGCAATACATGGGAATGGGAATGTACACTGTCAAAATTTTCGTAGAAATACCCACTACTTTCTAAATTAAAATGGTTGCTACTTAAATTTTCAAATTCCAAATTAAAATACTTAGTTCACTAATTTGTAAAAGCATGTAGGAAAAGTCAACTGAAACCAACATGAGAAGCATATATATTCAATAAAGCCCTAAAGTTTTGCTTATTTCCCTGATTTTTCTTAAATTAGTTCTTTAGCTTCACCTTCAATAATGTTTCATTTCTTGAAATCTATTCCTTATGTCCTTGATCAGGAAAGAAAACGTCAATAACAAAGTGGAAAGGACCACATGATACAATTGAAAAGCCTGGGAATTAAAAAAAGTTACAATGACGAACACGATAGTTTGGATGCTGGTGCAGCATGTTATGGCCTATACTCCGTACGATGTGTTATATAATTCAATATCCTGAAGTTTTTTTTACTTACAGCATCATAAATAGAATTTGAGAAAGAAGTCTTTAGTAGCAATGGAACATGGCCAGTTAGTATAAACAATTTTTCAATTTTATAGAGAGACTGAAAATGTGCTTGCAACAAGAGAATTTCAAGCTGAAAAAAATAACCTGTTAATAATGCATGCAAAATGAGAGGTGTATGGTTGGAAGAACTCATTTAACGTGATAAAAAGAAATGCGAAAAATATGTTAATTAGCGCAAATGTGGGACGGGAATTGTTGGATGAAAAATATAGCCCCTCTGTCATCAACTACTTTTCCACAACTAACTGCGCAGCAAATAATGATGATATCAACGTACAATGGCTACCATCTAGCACCAGAAATTAGATAAGTGGAAGCTTACCCTATATAAATGCTACAACAGTAGATTTGCCGAATTATAAACTCGTCAACTCAGCAGTCCTCGTATTTGATCCTTCCACTGATTTTTATTTATTGATACAAAGATTTTTTAATTTAATGACTTGTTACAAGTTTTAAATGTTTGCCTAATGTTCTGAGAAATTTTTGAAAAATTAACTTCAGTTTTCTGAAAAATTATGATAAGTTCGCTACATTGCAATACCGGTATATAACCATTTCATTTATTGAATTTTTACTCAATTTTGGGAGAAAAGTAATTTAACATAAAAATTCAAATTATTTGAACACGGGTCTGAAACATCGAAGAAAAGAATAAAAGCTTTTCTCCATTCAGATAATTCTTTCAGTAATATTAGCTATGAAAAAGTTCTTGATGAAATTGTTCACAGTTTTATTGATCATTGTGGAAATAATCACTGGTGAAACGAAATCAGCAACGATCTCAGGTGCAGCGATCCTGTCACCAACATCCGTTCTGAATGCGCAGCCTTCACCAATACCTGTTGAAATTACTCCCATACCTGCTGATGATTTTAGTCCAAGATTTGATGGTTTGAATTCAAAGATTCTACCTTGACATATTTTAAAAACATAGTCATATCGAAAAGCAATAGTTTTTGATCTCATGGAAAAAAGTCTATTCTGTATGACATTTTAGAGATATTTTCCCTAATTTCAAGGAAAAGAGTATAAGCTTTAGTTTCAGCAATACATTTTGTAGTTTTTCTAAAATTATATATATTTTTTAAACTGACAGCGCTATTAAAGTAGGATTCCTTTCAAATATTTCTAACTTTCCACACTGATGCATAAGCAATTCCACTGAATCGTCCCATTTTAACTCATGTTTCTGCTCAAACAAATTGATTTTTATAATGTAAATAATCATACTGTTCTTCAAAATAAAAACTATCAAGATACTACTTCGAGAGGAAAAATCACTTTTAAATTTCTATTTGCAGTTCAATCATTCAAATTTCACCAATCAAATGTATCATTTCTAGTCTCATTATTATTATTATTAATAACAAATTATATGAACTCAAGTTTTTTTTGTTCAGAATTTAGACGTATCGACGCAAACGGTGATCAGCAAATTACATTTGCAGAATTTATATTAGCCGATCGACCATACATTGAGGATAAATCGCGATTGTATCACAAACAAGATTTAAATGGTATTTGTTCCTAAAATATGTCCGGAATTTTTTTCTTCACTGGTTGAAGATTGAAAAAATTTGAAGCTTTTTTATCGATGAAAATCTTTCCGGTTGAAATAGATGTTATACTAAAAAGCCTGCTTACGGTTCTGCCTACTCTTAAGTCTTAATTAACTTAATATATGATTATTTTAATGTCGATATCATTTGCAATAATAAAAGTATCAATCTTATTTGGCTAGACGTTAGGTGATGGTATTGTGAGTAAAAATGAATTTGCTTCGTATTATCGGAAAAAAGAAGAAGAGCGTCGACTGAGGGAACAGCAAGCGGAAAATTTTTTCAAACAATTAGTGAGTTTTTATAAAAATTTCGCTTTCTAATATTGAAAATTATATTTTGCTGCTTAATTGTATAATTTGTGCAAAAGATAGAAATTACATATATTAAACTTAAATTTTCTTTAATTTGAGAGAAATAATTAATGACTCTCTTTGTAGGAAGTGCCGTTCACTCAACCATTTGGTTTCGGATTCCCACAGAATCCATTTTTTCCATTAAATAATCGACCTAATCAAGGTACGGTGCGCAATACTTCTTCACTGGCAGTACCATCAGCTAAAGAAAACGATAATGGCACTTTGCAGTTCTTACTTTGACAATTTTATTTGTGAAATTTATTTTATGACATTATCACGATGTTGTTTCCTTGAAAATTCCTTTCATCTTCGATCCTTGTTTTTTCTCATTGACTAACTGTATATCATATGTACTTTTTATACTTTCTCAATTTTCACACGAAAAAGATACATTTCATTTTACATGGAAACATCGATTTCCATTACAGATAACATGACGAAGTGATTTTCCCTGGATACTGCGATTTCAGTTCGCTTTTACTTCTTATAAATAGCAATGCTCATTAAGCGTTTAACATTGCAATGAAGTTATCTTGAAAAGTGCATATTAATAGAAGGCTTAGTTCAGCGAAGTCAATTAAAAAAAAACAAAACTAAAAGGTCTCATAAGATAACTTTCAATAATTATGCTATTCAAGAGGAGCCTGATAGATTAACACAACATAGAATCCCTTGCATTATTGAAATTGTAAAATGTATTAGCATCAATTCTCGGTATAATGATACCCTGACTAATTTACCGCTAGCCTAATTAACTCCTCAGATGAAAGACTCAAAATCAGCAGCTGATGTTTATTGAGGGAATCAACGGATACCGGTGTCTCACTTCTTATAGGAGGAAGCATACCAAATGCAGAAGGTTCTGAAGTTTTTGTTAGCATCCATCTGTAAACTGTTTCATCACTATGAGCCTTCAATGCTCCAAAAAATCAATTTCGAATTAATCTATTTTCATCATTGAAAGAATCAAATCCCTTCCTTTTTCAATCTTGCATATTTCAAAAAGAAATATTTTTAACATTTACATTCATTTGTAAAAAAATAGCAACTTCTATTAAGAAATTTCGCTCCCATAAGTTCCTGAATAAGTTGCAATTATCTTACTTGTCATAGCTTATAATGCTTGATTTTATGAATATCCGAGATATTGTTGGACTTTTGGCAATACTACTTCTTTGTTTGCTGTTTCTGAATAATTTATAAGTAATTTCTAATTTCTCTCTTTGCTAAGTAGGCTGCTTTTTTTCCTGAATATAATTTAGTGACAAAAAGACGTGACATATTACCTAGAGTTTATTTTGATAAGATGAATTGTTATTATTTGAAGTTGTGGTGCAACTGAAGATTATTATGAATGTTGATATTCTGTCTGAAATCCTAGGGGAAACGTTATGTATCAGACTCTATTTTTCTCCTTCATTTTCTCTTCGCAATGAACTCGATATTGAGCATGAAAATTTTTTTCGCAAATATTTTTCATATCGAAGCAATATAAAAGTCCTAAAATTTAACTTCCATTAGTTTTTATTTCAGGAATTTCATTCAAATTTTTCGAAGATTAATAGAATTTAAAAAAATAAATCGCTCGAAGACTAGTGAAATTTAAAAAAATAAGTCTGAAATAAATCAGAATATAAAACAATGTGGATAATTTGAGAGCATCACACCAATTCTGATTAATTGGTCAGAAATTTATCATTCTTACTTTTTAGTTTCATTCAGGACGATTGAGAAGTTAGCAAATGTAGATAATTGTTTAAAACCAGTCAGGCTAAATCAATGGGACGAGCAATTTGTAATCATATAGATTTATGAGAAACTCGCAATCTAAAAAACTGATTAAATACAATTACAAAACAAAATTCCTCTTCATTTCAGCTATTCGCTTGGAATTTCGAACATAAATGACACTTTTGTTTTTTAACTTTTCTATTTGAATTATTTATCCATTCGCCTATTACATAATGACTAAGCAAAATTGATCTTTCAAGATAAAGAAAAACATTATTGTTTAATGTATATGAATTATTTAAAAACTTGTCTTTGAAAGTATACGCCAAATTTATCTTTGCAGTTTTTATCACTTACAGCTCATCTTCACAAAAATCTTTTTACTTTCTCCATTCGCAAAATTAGGAGTCGCGGACGTGTTGCATTTCTGAATATGTAATCGTGAGTTTCTGAATTCCTCTACTACTGCAGTCATCTGCTTCATTTAACCAACATTTTGAGCAAAAATGATTGAAACGATACACGAATCGCTGAATTAGACAAAATATGCCAGCCACCATTCATTATATTCAATCTGCTTAATTTTTTCATACCCCAAAAAAAATGATGATGTGTACTTTACAATTTATGTTAATACTTATCCGCTAGTTTGAAATTTTCATATCTTATTGTGACTATGTATTCAAATTTAGAGTTAGGGGTTAATATATATCTTCATACATTTAATGCTGATACTATGATTTTTTCATTTGAGCATTGTAAATTTGAAAAAATTTAAATTTAAATTTTCGACACGTTATTGCGTTTTCATTTATGTTACAAAACATAATAACAATCTGAGTTTATCAGACTAATTGACAATCCATAGAATGTGGAGAGATCGACAATTTGAATTGAGCAGATATTCAATGAATGTTCAACAAGATCGGAAGCTACCAGCTGATAAACAATAGGACTAAAGCAGTTGAAAGGATAGAAAGAAACAAATCAGTTATTGCAAAAAATAAACTTTCTGTGTTGTTTTTATACTGTATATGTTAATAAAATTTTCGTGTATGAAAAAATCTTTACCAAAGGGCTGAAACAATACTCTTTCTATCATTAATCATTCCCGAAGTTCATTATGAATTTCAAATTGTTTAATTTAGCTGCATTGATATACAAAAAAATTGTATTCGCAAATCTTCTTTCCACGACATTGCATTTTTCTGTTCTGATATAACTTCTTTTACAATGTATAAAGATAAATCAACTTGACAAGTGTTTTGCATTTTTCACAATTTAGTTTATCAAAAAATCACAAAATATTCATGAAAATCAAAAATATATATTAAATAAATTTTTAAAGAAAGTTATGAAAAGAAAGAAAGGAAGAAAATGTGTGAACATTAGTTGAAACTTTCATTTCCATATTTTTATTCTTTAACAAGAAAATATGAAGAGAAAAGAAGAAGGTTTTGTTAATACTTCATAAAGTATCTTCTTTCTTAAAATTGCTCAATGCAACCGTTTAATGCACTTGGAATATTATAGATTCTATATTACATAAATTTAGTTTCAAGTTGATTTTTTCCAATGTATCCTATTTTGAAATTTTAAATTTCTTACCATATCTTAACTTCTCTTCTTCCACTACTATTTATCTCTTCTTCCTCGTTCATTTATATCTTCTATAAATTTACTCTTTTTTAATATTTCTTTCACTTCCCTATAACCTTTTTTAAATTTAGCAGTTTTCTTCAAGCATATTTATTCTGATTTTAAAAGTTAAGAATATAATTGGGAAAAAAGAAGAAAACAATGACAAATTCAACAATTTCTTCCTCTCCCATAGATTTCATATAAACTTCCATACGTATGTTTTGAAATCTGAAATCTCATTATGACATTTCATTTTAATGACAGTCTTCCGAAGCACCAAAAAAAACGATTTACAGCCAAAACAAATTTAACTATACTTGACAAAACATGCAACTGTTAGTCTAACTGAGTAGAGCGTATAAAATCATATAAACACATTTCAGAAAATATAAGCTCAAATCAGAACGATTCCTAAATTATCAATTACGATTATGTGGTAATTTAGTATATCTTGTTAATCACAGTACTAATTCCTATTTCCAACTAGATCAAAAAGTATGAGCTTTCAGATAATTAAAACAAAGTATTGTGGTAGCATCATTTAATGAGATTCAGCTATGTTCCTCCAGGGCCTAACATTATATTGTCAGTCTTCTCTGCCTCTTTGTTAAACCTTATTTGTCAAAATTTGTTTTTGGTGAGCTAACATAAGGAAGCACTGAGTTCCTCCATATTATATTCCTTGGTTAGTAATCTATGCTCTCTATGTCATCATATTAGCCGTCTAAGCTTTCCACTAACTACACTATCATCATATTCTTCGCTATATATATTTTAATTTATTTTCAAAATACAAAATGATACTTGCTTTTTTTTTTAAATAAGCTGATATCAATTATGGAATAAATTTCGAAAATCTTTCTAAATCTTCTAACTTGTAATCTTCGAAATGAAACTTATATTAAGGTTTCATTTTTACCTGACAATACATTTGTGCTTATATTGGTATGAAGGCATTATTCATTCATATGTAGCTAATTTCTTTCTTAGAATATAAATATTGCACAATTAGCTCATCTTCCATTATTATCAAATCCATTGTTTTAGTTTATGAAATATTCAAAAAAAAAATTAAACAAACTTTGATTAAATTAAAGCAAAATTTAATGAAATCTAAGTTTTTAAATAAGAAAATCTATTCAAATAACTTATTTTTCTGTAAAATCTCAGAAATTTGCTTCAGATGAAAATTTTTCGTTTAGAATTAATTTCAATATAATATCAAATAAATAAATGAAACTTTACCATCGGAAAGTTATTGCTATATATCATTTCTATTTCAAGCAAAAATTAATTTTATAATTAACAAAAAGACAAAAAGAGCAATTAATGTACATTGCTCCTTCCTAATTGTAACATTTCTTTGTAAAATAAAAACTCATTTAAAAAAATCATTAAGTGACTTACTTTTTAGCATTTTCAATCTTAACGAAAAAATTCGACAGAATTTTAAATTATAATAAGAGAAGCACATATAACTAACGATTGTCTGATGATGATGTGATAATATGACTATGTATGAGCAAAGGCCCTATTCCCTAGAATTCAAAGCCTTAACCAACTTCTCCACCCCTTCCTGAGTTTCCAAAAATCTCAATTGATGCATAGCCAACGCTTTGCTTTGCCCCATCAAAATCGAATCGAATATTGGCCATATTTTAATTCTTCTTGCAGTTCCCCTCTCCGCTATCCTATCATTATCTCCAATTCTTTGATTTGCTATTTAGTAGGAAAAAAAAGATATTATTATCATTTCTTATTATTATTAATTATTAATTTTAGTTTGTCTTACAGTTGATATTCAAATTTTTAATTCAATTTCTACGAAGAACTATTGAAAAAAATTTGCTGTATAAAATAAAGTTTCAAAATGGAAAATAAGTAATTTGTGAAATGAACATGTATATATATATATATATATATATATATCATCTTGTCTCATAAAAAATTTCTTCTAATTAGTAAAAGCATTAGTTTGAAGCAAGTTGGAAGTAAATCAAATGAATTTCATTTGTTTCATACGAATTCGCCATCTTTGTATTTCATTTCTCTTTATTTCTAGCCCAAAATACTCGAATCGGAGCAATTTGATAACAACATATGGTGTAAGAAGGAATGGATGACCAATCGTTGTGTACTCTCTGACCTGAAAGAAGCTGGAAACTTCTCTTATCCTCCTCTTATTATCTTAAAAATTTAGGTGATCTCAATATTCAAAGAAATTTAGCTACAACAATTTGTCTTTTTATCAAATTTTGTATACCGACCATTATTCATTATATATTGGGTTAAAATATTTTGCTTGAAAAATAATTTTATCTGCGACCTCTAAAATGATTTATTTATCGCTGAGTTTCAAGAATGTTTCCTAACTTTTATAAAAATTAGACAGTTAAAAAAATAAGCAAATAATGAAATGGTTTAATAATATGTAATTTCCCTTTTTTACAAACAATTAAAATTGAAAGCAAAATTGAATTTTGAATCGAAAAGTAATTAGTTATGAAATCTTCTAAAAAGCAGCTTTGCAGCTTTAATGAGGAGAATTTAGTTTCTCTTATATTGTTGATATTCTATAAGTTAAGAAATAACGCTAGAAAGTTAGGTTATTAAAAAGAATTTACTAATTAAGAGAGAAATGTGAACTTAATCGTCGAACCATCGATTGCATCCGAAATGAAAGATAGCGATTTTCCACAAACAATAAATTTTTCTTTCTTTTTACTGTATTTTTCTTTTGTAGCAACAATATTAGTGAGCAGCAATGAATCCGTTATCTATTCCTTTGTTTTCGCTTTTTCAGTTTGTTGCTTTCACCACTACACTTGGTTTGTTCAATTTTTTAATTTTAATTTACAAACAAACAAACAAAGTCATTCGCTCTAGAAATAAGCGAAGCAGATTTAAAAGCTCAAATTAGTATTAACAGGATTTTTTTTAAATATTGGATGTGATAAGGAGATGATTTTAATCCATCATAGGTTTTGTGAGTTTTTCGAAAAATATGTTTAATTCATGAATATAATGTATAAATTAGAAATTATGCATAATAACTACAACATAGGTTTAGTTTTTAATTTTATATCAGTGACTGAAAATGATTATCATACTTAAAATGTTGAATTTCTGATGACTAAAAACAAATGGTTAGCTGTCATTTATTTGTGCTTTCATTCTTTTTAATCGTAAAAAAATATCAGGTCCACCAAAATTGAACCCAGAAAATAGTGACAAAGTATGGTTTCAAATGAATCCGACCGATGTTGCACGTAGTAAACTTATTCTTCCGTGCTATGCTACTGGTAATCCAGAAACGTCAGTTTAAAGTTTTGTTTAGTATAAAACTTTCAAAAAAAATCATGCAAATTCAAATATTTGCAGACTCTTTATTCCGAACAAATACTCATTAATTTTTGATTATTTCAATACAAATGTTATTAATGAACTCATTAATGAGTCATTTAAGGTTTGACTCATTTTATTTTTTGCAATTAGACCTGAGACGATTATAAATGATACATTCAGAAATAAAATAAACGAAATCACTCATGTCTGATATCTTAAATGTTTTTTCCGCAAATATTACGTCTAAAATCCATACGTTGGCTTATCAAAATTTCATGTAAAATTTGATAAAATTAGCAAATTGGAAAAGATGGTTCAAAACAAAATGACTACCAACGGCTTTCAGTCGCACATCAAAAACATCCCAATTGAAATTTAAAACGACTTTGGTTATTTTTGATGAAATTTTTTCAGATTAGATAAAAATAAGGGACCACTGATGACGTATGCTTTGAAAACCTCCGAGACATTTTAAGTTTGTCGTTTTTTAGATATGAATGGTTTAAGGACGGGAAAAGATTGAAAGTTGATGGTAATCGAATTGCATGGGAAAAACAATTCCAAAGTGGTACTATAATAATTAATGATGCTCGAGATAATGATCAGGGTTACTATCAATGCCATGCATCCAATATTTTTGGGACTGCTGTTTCCAACAAACTTCATGCGCAAATTGGAGGTAATCTATTTGGAGATACATTGAAGATTGTTTAAATATTCAGAGTGAATGTTCTTAATGCGTTGAATGATTTAAAGAAGATATAATTTTTAGCATTCTAATTAAAACTACTTCTTGGACTTTGAAAAGTTCATAGATTCAATATTCACATTCCAACAAATTCAGTGCTTGATCATTTTGTGCCCCGAGGTGTGCGTCGATTGATAGCTGAGGAAGGACGAAGTTTGAGTATTCCATGTGATGATATTCCTCATGGGGTGCCAAAACCATCAGTTTTCTGGCTTTATCGTGATGCACAACGAACAGATATCATCGGAACTATTCAACGTAAACACATCACTGTCGATACCGAAGGTTATTAATTCACTTTGCAAACGTTATTTTATTGTTAAAATTGAAACTGAAAGTTATTAGTTTCATCTTTGGTCAAAAGCTAGAATTTCTTCTAATACTTCAATGATTATCATTTTTGCAGGTACCCTTCATTTCACGGCAGTTGAAAAACAAGACGACCAACCAAATTTAATTTATCAGTGCGCAGCAACCTCTCCTGTATTGCATGGAGAATATCGTGCAGGCAATGAGTTCCAGCTTATTGTCGATCCTGCTACAAGTATTTTCAATTTTCATATTTTAAATTGATAGTTTCAAAGTTTTCATTTACCTGAATGTACTTCTAAATGCAGGCGAAAAAAGTCACTTTTTAGAGAGCAATAGAACGGCTACACATAAGCTATGGTTTAGTCCAGAGGAAGTATCTGTCAAAGTAGGAACCAAACTCAAACTGATGTGCATTTTCGGCGGAAGGTAAATTTCCTACAACTTACAACTCACCGCCATCTAATTTCATTTTACTTTTGAGTAGAACTTGTTCTCGGCGTGTTTGTAATATAAATCACCATTATTTCAACAAAATTATAAAACGCTGTTAAACTACAATGAATTCAGGCCTTTACCAAATATAACGTGGAGTAAATTAAGTGGCAAATTGCCGCTTACTCGATTAAAAGATTTTAAATCACAAGAGGCTGATTACGGTAAAGCTCTGATCATCGAAAATGTTCATTTGGAAGATGCCGGAATATACGAATGTCGATCACAGCATCTATTCCATCGAATGCATGTCACTGTCATTGGTAATCCTCCTACTGTATTGGATCAGCATTTTAAAATTGAAATTTAATCAAATAACTTGTTTATACAATGTTCAGAAGCTTTGCTTATTAATTTAAAAATTGCAGTAAAATAATTAAACACTTGCCTAATAAGACATGACATATTTTTCTAAACTTTCACTAAAATTTTAATTTAAACCTGAAATATATTCCAGCAGCTCCATTTTGGATTGATAAACCACCACAGGATATTGACGAACCAGAAGGAAGTGCCGCTGAAATTCATTGCGTAACATCGGGTATCCCAACTCCTATCGTACAATGGTTCATCAACGGTGTACCATTACATGGTTTGATTCTGAAATCTATAGAACTTTTCAATGAGAATCTTTTCCTCAAATTTCATAAGCATTGTTAATTAATGATGGATTGGTCCTAAAAGTGATGCGTATGATGTTTAAATGTTTTGTGAAAGAGTTTGGTAAGATCTGAAAAATTTTCTCACTTACTTGTGACTTATCATTTATAGATGAATTAGCTTTTCTAGAAGATTTATACGTAACAAGAATTATTTTAAAGTATAACAATCGAATTATCTGTTACTATTCTACAAATCTGAGATCTTGAGTACTTTATGCTATTTTGAGTTATTCATGCTTAGATTTAATTTGAATTATATAATTTGATTATTAGTTGTAATAGTTGCTATAGAGTTGGCAGACAATAATCGACGTATGATTTTAAATAATGGTCAAATACTACGGATCGTAAATCTGGATCATGACATTGATACAGCTGTATATCAATGCAATGCATCGAATCCGTTTGGTTACGTCTTCGGAAATGCTTTCGTGAATGTGCGCGGTAATACAACTTAATCATTATGATATTTTGTTCCTTCAAATTGTATTCCAATCTAAAATAGTTTATTTTATTTGCCCAAATATTTTAAATTTATCAAATTTTCTATTTTCCTCAACTTTCTGACTAATGGATGTGATTCATATGGAACTATCATCGCCTTATATTCTGCCATTACTTACTGAAAGGCTTTGAACAAGGACAGACTGAATCTTACAAATACCCATTAATCTAAATTAAATATTTTAAATTGTTAAGAAAAAAATCATAAAATCCAAACTAAAATCAAAATTTGATTTGATTACAGCCTATGCTCCGTATTTTAAAATGCCAAGTCATCGTGTCTGGAACGTGGTACGCAAATCAACTGTAGAGATATCATGCCATGTTGATGCAGCACCCGAAGCAATGGTCAAATGGGTGGACGCTAATGACCATTCCATTGCTGTTGTTCTGGGAAAAATCGATGTTAGCTTGTTTGCATTATTATTTCTAATGAAACATTTGGCAGAGAATATGATACATAAAGTTCTCATAATCTATTAAACCTTGAAATCAATCTGATACTGACTGTATCGCAAGTACATACATATATTATAAAAACAATAAGCAAAAATATATAAACAAAAATAATAATAAATAATACGGTTTCAAACTAAAAAGTTAATAAAGTGTAATGATTTTAGCGTAAGCAGCAGTATTTCGCTATTGGTAGCGTTATACTTCATAGCACGGCTAGAACGAATTTGAGGAAGCGTTTGGATGATAGTAAT